GTGAAACACATTGGACACAAGTAGGACAACTGAGACTAGCTTCAGGGGAACTGCTGTTATACTCTGGTCATGAAGAGGAAAATGCTTCACATACACAAGGAGTTGCATTGATGCTGTCCAAACATGCACAAAAGGCACTAATAGGATGGGAATCTCATGGACCCAGGATCATTAAAGCATCCTTCAAAACAAAGAAAGAGGACATTACAATGAACGTCATCCAATGTTATGCACCTACCAATGACTACAATGATGACGACAAAGATCAATTCTACGAAAGGCTGCAGTCAATCGTCGATAAATGTTCACCAAAGGATTTGACGATTCTTATGGGAGACCTGAATGCCAAGGTTGGAATGGACAACACTGGATATGAAGACATCATGGGACGACATGGACTGGGAGAAAGAAACGAAAACGGTGAGAGATTTGCAAACCTATGTGCCTTCAACAAACTGGTCATCGGTGGCACAATATTCCCGCACAAACGCATTCACAAAGCCACATGGGTTTCACCGGATCACACTACTCAAAACCAGATTGATCATATCTGTATCAACAAAACGTTCAGAAGGACTATGGAGGATGTGAGAACCAGGAGAGGAGCTGATGTAGCCTCAGATCACCATTTGCTAATCGCCAAAGTGAAACTGAAACTAAAGAAGCACTGGACAACGGGACAGACAACATCACACAAGTTTAATACGGCCTTTCTTCGGGATACTGTAAAGCTCAACGAATTCAAGATAGCCCTCACCAATAAGTTCCAGGCCTTACAGGATCTACACAATGGAGAGGACGCAACATTGAAGAACAATTGGAAAGGGATTAAGGAGGCAATCACTTCAACATGTCAGGAGGTCCTTGGTCGCAAGAAGCAGCATCATAAGGAATGGATCTCTGTTGATACTCTCGCAAAAATTGAAGAAAGGAGGAACAAGAAGGCAGCAATCAATGTCAGCCGAACAAGAGCGGAGAAAGTTACCGCACAAGCTGCATACACAGAAGCAAACAGGGAAGTGAAGAAGAGCATCAGAGCTGACAAACGAAAATACGTGGAAGATCTAGCAATGACGGCGGAAAAGGCTGCAAGAGACGGAAACTTGAGACAATTGTACGTAACAACAAAGAAGCTCGCTGGAAACTATCGTAAACCAGAGCGACCAGTGAAAAACAAGGAAGGCAAAGTAATCAGCAACACTGAACAACAGCGAAATAGGTGGGTAGAGCACTTTAAGGAACTCCTAAATCGACCAGCTCCTCTGAAGACACCCAACATCGAAGCAGCATCCACGGACCTCCCAATTAATATTGGCGCACCTACGATTGAGGAGATCAGTATGGCCATCAGACAAATCAAGAACGGCAAAGCAGCAGGACCAGACAACATTCCAGCAGAGGCAATGAAAGCAGATGTAGAAGCAACTGCGAAAATATTTCACATCCTCTTCAAGAAGATTTGGGATGAGGAACAAGTACCATCAGACTGGAAGGAAGGATACCTGATCAAAATACCAAAGAAAGGCGACCTCAGCAAGTGTGAGAACTACAGAGGCATCACTCTTCTTTCAATACCAGGCAAAGTCTTCAACAGGGTATTGTTAAACAGAATGAAGGACTTCGTAGATTCCCAACTTCGAGATCAACAGGCCGGATTTCGGAAGGATCGATCGTGTACTGACCAAATTGCTACATTACGGATCATTGTGGAACAATCAATTGAATGGAACTCACCACTCTACATCAACTTCATCGACTACGAGAAAGCATTCGATAGCGTGGATAGGAAAACACTGTGGACTCTTCTTCGACACTACGGTGTGCCTGAGAAAATAGTTAACATCATACGGAACTCTTATGATGGATTCAACTGCAAAATCGTGCACGGAGGACAGCTAACCGACTCTTTCGAGGTAAAGACCGGTGTCAGGCAAGGTTGCTTACTTTCACCCTTTCTCTTTCTCCTGGTGATCGACTGGATTATGAAAACGTCAACAGCTGGAGGGAAGCACGGTATCAACTGGACAGTTAGGACGCAGCTGGACGATCTGGACTTCGCAGATGATCTGGCTCTTCTATCGCACACTCAACAACAAATGCAAGAGAAGACGACGAGTGTAGCAGCAGCCTCTGCAGCAGTAGGTCTCAACATACATAAAGGAAAGAGCAAAATTCTCCGATGCAACACAACATGCACCAATCAAATCACTCTTGATGGAGATGCCTTGGAGGACGTTAACACCTTTACATATCTGGGCAGCATCATCGACAATCAAGGTGGATCGGATGCAGATGTGAGGGCACGGATTGGCAAAGCAAGGGCTGCATTTCTACAGTTGAAAAATATCTGGAACTCCAAACAGATATCAATCAACACCAAAATAAGGATTTTCAATACAAATGTCAAGACAGTTCTAATGTATGGAGCGGAAGCATGGAGAACTACCAAAGCCATCATCCAGAGGATACAAGTGTTTATTAACAGCTGTCTACGTAAAATACTTCGTATTCGTTGGCCAGACACCATCAGCAACAACGAACTGTGGGAGAGAACAAGTCAGATTCCAGTGGAAGAGGAAATCAGGAAGAAGCGGTGGAAGTGGATAGGACACACTCTACGAAAAGCACCTAACTGCGTCACGAGACAAGCCCTCACATGGAACCCTCAAGGCAAAAGGAAAAGAGGAAGGCCAAAGAATACATTACGCCGTGAAATAGAGAAAGATATGAGAGTAATGAACAAACATTGGACAGAACTGGAGGAAGAAGCCCAGGACAGAGTTGGTTGGAGAAAACTGGTGGGCGGCCTATGCTCCATTGGGGGTAACAGGCGAAAGTAAGTAAGTAAGTAAGATCACCTTTGAAAGGTAATTGTAGGTACACTGGTTTCTTGGGCACATCAGTTGCTATCAGCTTCGTCGTAGTTGTGTCCTGATGACTAATAAACGTTTCGGGATATCCGTTTGATTTAAGTGTCTCAGTAATAAGCTTGAATTCGTCGTTCAATGTATCAGCAGTGCAGATTCTACTTGCTCGAGCGAATAAAGTTTTGACAACAGAACGTTTATATTGTATGGGGCAGAAACTGGTGAAGTGAAGGTACTGTCCCGACCAGGTGGGTTTGCGGTGTACTCCGTCTGGACGGCGATGGAGCAGGATATCGAGGAAGGCTAGTTCATTATTCTTTTCTTCCTCATAAGTGACTTTCAGACTCGGGTGAGTCGTATTAAATAAATCATTAATTTCATTAATATCTGTAGAATGTGGTAATATGACAAGAATATCGTCGACATATCGTTTGTAAAGTGTAATACCATCGATGAAGTGACTCACTTGCCTTTCTATTTTTCCCATGAATATGTTTGCTAAAATAGGTCCGAGAGGGCTTCCCATTGCCACTCCATCGATTTGTGTATATGCTTTACCTTGGAAATAGAATTTTATATTCTTTGTGCACAGCAAAATTAGATCTCGAAGATAGGTAGTGTAATATGTGTAAATATTATGTAATCAGTCAGAAAGTGTTCTGCTAGACGATTTTATAATGCATTCGAAACTGTAATTCTACCCAACTCCTAGGGTTCCAATTATCAGTTTGTCTCTCAATCACTTTCTTGTATTATTTCTGATTGTGATGTATTATTATTTTTTCTATTAAATGTAAGTGCATTATTCAATGTGCTTATTGAGTTGTCAGCTCACTTTTCCCTCTTCCAGATAACTTCACATACTGCTTCTCAGATTTCCTCTGTAAGCAAGTTACCTGTAGACTACAAACAAACTTACTAATGACTGAAGTCTACAGATACTTCTAGATTATTTATATCTTTGTAAGCATTGTGTACGTACTTCAGTAATTGGGTGGTCAAGCCAAAACGTGGCACAAAACCATGAAGTTACTGACAAATGGACTGAGCCACGTTAGTACGTGTCGACTATCTGGTTGGGGCCAGCGAGATGATAGTGACCGATGGTTAAAGACACTAAATAACATGGCTTGAAACTGTTTACAATGGCGCAGGTGCATTCATTCATTGTGTTCTCTTAAATCTTAACCTTTCGAATTGCTCATCACCTTTATCTTTTTCTTTTAAGTTTATTTCACTAAATTCTACTTTTTGAATAATAATATCTTCAAACCATAATCTGTCCGATTACTGCTAATACATTTACTATCCCTGCTACTACGAGATTTGAATTGACAATTACATCTCTGTGCTAATAATGTGGTATGACAACATGAACTGATGTACGTACGTACGAAGTTCTACGTTGTTGCTGACTGACTTCGGTGATTACTATGCAATTCATCTTTTTTAATTTCAAATTTGTTAGTGAAATAGAATCGTTCCATTGTTTTTTTGTCGTTATATAACCAATTAGTCAGTGTCGTACTATTTTTAAATTTAGATTTTCATTCATGTGTATGTGTGTGTGTTGTATGACTCACACATATCCAGAAATTTATTCATTCAATTTGAATTAAAATAATCAATTTGTGGTTGTGTTTTTTTTTCAATAACACGTTATTATTATATTATTATTATTAACAATGATTCATAATATCCAATTTTATAGTTGATATTACGCAATCAATGATAAGTATTGGCTTTCTTTTACAGTTTTGTTATCGCATTACAGGATTGTGAAGATTGTTAAGTTACACATTTGAAACCATGAATCGGTCAAAGTTAGACCACCATTAGAAACCTGCAAGCACTAGACGGCCATTTCGTCTTGGTATAAGACTCGTCAGCGGTGCGCAGGATTCCAATGCAGGACGTTCGGCTAACCTCTGGACCAGTGAGCCGGTATCTAACGGCGTTTGTGTCGAACTTCGACCTGAGGGTCCTGGGTTCGAATCCTGAAAATTCCAGAAGTCGTAGATGCGCACTGCTAATGTTCCATACCAGGGCGAAACGGCCGTCCAGTTTTGTTATTATTTATCAATTTAGAATTTATTTAATAGACAAAAATAATATTTTGTTTGTTTCTTATAGGATGGCTTGAACCGCTTTTAGATCGAATCGCTTATAATGCTACCATTGTTGTTGTTCCTGTCATAAGTATCATAGACGAAAAGACTTTTATTCACATCAAAGAAAATATTTCCGACCTTCAAATTGGTGGTTTTGATTGGAGTTTAACATTTGATTGGCATGAACTAAGTGATCGAGATAGAAATCGTCCCGGTGCACCATTTTCACCAATTAGGTTTGTGTGTTGATTGTTTCATTTATATATATATTTATATAAATTTGTTTTACGACATCCAATAAGGTGAAACTGCTGTATTTGAGACGAGTATCTATGTCCGTCATATTGATAAAATGCAATACAACTTTAGTAAATACTAAATAATGTTGTTGATAATGTAATGTAATGTCAAAAGTTACTTAATTTTACCTGTTACCAACAATGAAGCATAGGTCAATCAACCAGAATTCACCAAGCCTTCTTTGCTAGTTCTACCAAACCGTTGTTCATTCCATTCACGTTTGCTTCCAATTCTCTGCATAATGTTTTTTTAGGTTTCCTCTTTTCCTTTGTCCTTGAGGGCTCCAGGTTAAGGCTTGTCTTGTGACGAAGTTAGGTGCATTCCTCAAATTCTGTCCTATCCTGTTAAAGCTGTTCTCCCTGATTTCTTCCACTTCTGGAATCTGGTTTGTTCTGTCCCACAGCATATGGTGATCCAAAGTATATTGCCTAGACAACTGTTAATAAATACTTGTATCTTCTGGATGATGGCTTTCGTAGTTCTTCAGTTTGCTGCTTCATACATCAAAAGTTACAGTGTTGAAATTAATAACTCTTATTTAAATAAAAAAGGAAAAAAATAATAATTCACAATACTTTGAAAAAAAAACAAAAATGTAAGAATTGATATTATGAAATCTTTTGGGAATTCACTATTCCCATAAATCCATATTCGATACTCTCACTTCTTATGACAGTGATAATTGTAATGTACCAATGTACCAGGAATAAATCTTGAAATACCTATACCTATAGACTAGACTACCTGGTTGTGGTCGGTGAGACTATAGTAACCAATGGTTACAGGCTGAAAATCGCTTGGAATAGCGCAGATAAATTCATTCTTTGTATTTACTGAAATTTTAATCTTCTGAATTCTTCATCACCTTTATCTTTCTCTTATCAAATTCGTTTCACTGGATCATAAAACTTGAATAATATGCCTGAACACTCATCTTTTTGATTACTACTTATACTTCTAACACCTCTGCCATTATGAGATTTGAACTAACAAGTAGTTCTCTTTGTGTTAATATGGTATGGAACCTTGAACTGGTTTAGATACGTATGGAATTCTACACTGTAGCTGACGGACTGATTGACTGACTGACTGACTGACTTTGGCCTGATTATCTTTTATACTTCTGATTATGATTATTGATGATGAAGTTGTTAACATCTCTCTTTTTTTCTCCTATTTCGTATTTTATTTATCTCATAATATTTCTTGCAATCTATTCATAAAAATTAGTGTAGTGTTATTTTGCCACATTTATTATTTTTACTTACAATTAATTATTGTGCCATATAGTTATTTTGTTTTATAAAATAACGTTTCCAAATATTAACCGGTATTCATTAATATTTATAAAAAAAAATCTATATTTTATTCCTCTGTTTTTTTCATATAATTATGTTTCAATGAAAAAAATAAAAATAAAAATAAATGTTTGATTACATTGAATAATGTTTTTCTTGTGATCAACTTAAACACATTAAGGTTTAAATTCTCTTCATGAATTGTATTTATTCGTAAATCTGCTAGTTAGATCAGCTTAAATACTCTATGATAATGTTCAATGGTTTACGAAGTCAGTTACATTAAAAATTATTCTTTTCTTCAAAAAAATTTGTTATTATTATTCAATACCGAGAGGTTGCGCTTAGATTTGTCAACGCATTTATGCATCTCTTCATTGGCTAGTAAATATTCGCATTACGGGGTTGTGAAGATTGTTAAGTTACACATTTTTGAAACCATGGATCAATAAATGTTAGACCACCATTAGAAACCTGGAAGAACTGATAGACAGCCGTTTCATCCTGGTATAGGACTCCTCAGCAGTGCGCATCCATAGATACCGGCTTAGTGGTCCGATGGTTAAACGTTCGTGCACAATACCGAAGGTCCTGAGTTCGAATCCTGCGGGGTGCAGGAGTCCCATACCAGGACGAAACGGCCGTCTAGTGCTTCCAGGTTTCCAATGATGGTCTAACATTGATCGATTCATGGTTTCAAAAATATGTAATAAATATTCGTAGAAATTTGAATATTCAGTTTTGCTTTGTATCCGATTAGGTATATTCTTTTGATTTTTTTTAAACAAACTGCAATTAGTTTTACAATGATTTACAAATTTAAATAAAAGTAAATATTAGCATTCTTTTAAAAAAAGAGAAATTATACTTAATGGTGCTTTTTCTAAAAATATTTCAGTGTAATATGTATCACAATTCTAAATTAGTAAATGATGCTTCATATATTTTTTTAAAAAAACACTTTTAAATGTTAGTCAATAATTGTTGATGGAAACATTTGTAGTGTGCAAAAGTATCACTGATTTCGTAACGATTGGTATCCAACATGTTCTTAGGCTTCCGTAATTAGCTCGTTCAGACAATCGTCACTAAATAGCATCTGATGGTTTATAAATCAGAAGGTGAACTCGAAATGTTGAGTACGTTTATTTTGGCACACCACAAAATGGATCAACAGACTACAAGTACTCAAAGATAAAATGTTTATGCGAGCGCCGGATAGCAAGCAAGCTGGCAAATTGGCGAATGAAGTGAAGTGGAGAAGGCTAATGAGCCGACTCCATGACATAAAGCATGGTTAAAAAATGAGACGGACATGTAACAAGCGAGATATGCATGTATGCACATGAATGTAAGCGATGAATGATTGACAAGGTCAAAAGATAAGCTAAACATGTCATGTGAGCTAGACATTGAATGACTCACTACACATTGTTAAACAATGCTGAAATTATGCTTTTGTCTATTACTTCTCATTCATTCATTATTCATTGGGATTATTTATTCGCACATTTTTTTATTAAGCATGGTAGTCAGCGTAGCTTGGGAAAATTAAGTCCAAATCCTGATAAATTATTTTTTTCAGTCTAATAAATATCAAATTCACTGAATTTTTAGACTATAGATTATGGGATTCCAACAATAAGATACAATTTTCACCCCCTGAATTGAAAATGTCTTAACTAAGATTGCTTGAACAGGTCTTTATTGAAATCAATCAAATTAAAGTAAAACAATTATCCTGCACTTTATAGTTTGTGATGATTTCTTCAATTGTGTGTGTAAATCCTCGGAGAACTAGTTTAATATTTGAAAAATGTTTCTCTTGTGAGATTTAAATGGTACTGACTGATATTTATTTAGTATCTACACTGTTGTATGCTAGCCCAGTGGTCCAGAGGTTAAGCGTTTGATTTCCGCAAGTAGCACAAGAGTCATGGATGCACATTACTAATGAGTTCCATAACACGACAAAGCAACCATCTATTCCTTCCAAGTTTCTAGTGGTGTTCTAACAGTGATTGATTGATAATTTCAGCAATAACATTATCTCATTTCTTAATATGTGTTTATTTTTCCATTCATTATTTAGAACTCCTGCAATGGCAGGTGGTTTATTTGCTATAGATCGTGAGTATTTTGATTATCTTGGTCGATACGATCCTGATTTGGAAATCTGGGGCGGTGAGAATTTAGAATTATCATTTAGAGTAAGCAGATATTTATGTGTTATGTAATAATGTTTAGCTTGGATAGAATCTGCTTACTGATTGTGGATCAATTTCATTTGATTTCATTGTCCAGTTACGCACTATTTATTGTATTTTGTTTTAAGCTATGCCAGTGTCACTGACAAGTGGACTGAGTCAAGTTGGTAGATGTAGGCTATCTGGTTGGGGTCCACGAGACGAAAGTCACTAATGGTTAGAGACCTTGAATGACATGGCTTAGAATCGTTTGCAATGGCGCAGGTGTATGCACTCTTTGTGTGCTTTTTAATTCTAATCTTCTGAATTCCTTATAATCTCTATCTCACTGAATTATATCATATCTTCGCTCCCTAATCTTTCCCATTACTGCTAATACTTCTACTATGGCTATCGCTCTTAGATTTGAACTAACATTTACGTCTCTCTGCTGACGTGGTATGGCAACCTGAACTGATGTACTTATGTACGATGTTCTGCGTTGTATCTGTCGTT